TCAGGAAGCTCCTCGTCGACACAGCTGGGTCCTCTCTCGAACTTCTGGCCGGACGCAACCCCAACTGGGTCTCAACGATCCCCGAGCCTATCCAGGAGATGGAAAAGAGGCCTGGGACAGGCCCCGTGAAGGCCCCAAGAAACTCACATAAGACCACGAAAAAACTTCAAAACAATCCCCTACAAGGTCCCCCCTTGAACCCCACACGCTACGTAGGACAGGCCGAAACCCCAAGATTGCACAGCGATCGCGCGCGTTCCGCGAATTCTGTCTTTCACTCTTTCTGCCGCCCCAAGGGGTCGGCGGTGCGGCGTAAGCCAATGAATCAGTCTGGCGAAGGCAACAGAAGGCATATCAGAACAGTGCAACTGAGAGCGCTAGCGCAATGCAACTGAGAATGTGAACAACACAATGCAACTGGGACCATACAACGCAACTAGTGGCATCACATGCAATGCATCTGTACATCCACCACATGAGGAGCTAGAACCACGCGCGCGCTTCGCGCGCGATTTGCTCCTAGTAGTCAGCTTCCTCCTAATCTTGCTCCGACTCATGCTCTTGCCACAATCCTTGTTTCCCTCTGTCCCTCCTCCCCTTCACCTTCATTCGCCAGATCATCTATCTCCTGTGCCTTCCACCTCCAGTTCCTCCTCCGTTCTTCTCCTCCAGCGAAATTATGTGCGTGCAGAAAGGCTGCGTGTTGGCCAGCCGGGGCGATTTTTGTATCGTCGTCCTGCGCGCTGGCAGTCGCAAGGCTTCTCGATTGTGTGGGCAGTTTTGTTCACAGCGTGATTCCTCCCTCTTGGTGGCCTCGCCAGCTCCCAGTTCTATCGTCGGTAGCTGTCCGTCGATACATAAACACATCCTCGTCCGCCTCCCTGCTCGAATCCGCCCACCCTGTGGACCTCACCGATTCGCGCGTCGGCGACGGGGGAGGAGGCAGGCTCCAAGTGCTTACTCCACCTTTTTGAAACAGTCCTCCAAAAAGTCCCCGAAGTCGGCAAAGTCTGCTCCATGGGGGGAGAAGGGGTCTCGCGCCGATCGGTTCATGCAAGACCACTGACCTGGGTGAGCGTATACTGGTTGGCCTGGCCCGCGTCCAGAAGGCGGCGGAAGAACCTGATCTCGTTGCCGTACGTCGAGTGGACGTACTTCCAGAACTCCTCCTTCGCAAACTTCTGCTTCCTGACCTCCTCCCGCCGCCTGTCGTAGCGCCTGCGGCACGCCACGAAGGGCAGCTTCTCGAAAGTGCTCGCCTGCCACGGCCTCGGAGCCAACCGATGGTGGGGGGACACATGGGGCCTGTCGCGCTCGACGTACTCCTGTGCTACCTTATCCGCCACGATGCCTGCGAGGCACGAGTTGGAGTGTCCTCAGGTCCCTTGCTAAATCCCCTGAGCCTCAGTCCTCAATCCTGAATTCTCCAATCTCCCGGGGCTCCTGGCGCACCCGGGGCGTCTTCCCGCATGATTTTTGTCCTCCTTCTCCTCCTCCTCCTCCTCCTCCTCCTCCATCCTTATCCTCCTCCTCCATCCTTTCCCTCCTCCTCCTCCTCCTCCTCCTCCTCCTCCTCCACCCCACATCCTCCTCCTCCTCCTCTTCCTCCTCCTTCTCCTACTCCTCCATCCTTATCCTCCTCCTCCTCCACCCCATATCCCCCTCCTTCTCCTTCTCGATGTTTTTGCTCGGGCCCAAAACGTATTCGAGACCTTTCCTGTCCACGGCCCAAGCGCGGTGGCGGCATGGGCCGAAGGCCACTTGGATCGCCGCCCCCCTGTGGTCTGCCCGGGACTGGACCTAAACATTGTTTTCCGTCTTGTTTTCGTTTTGCTTTTCGTTATGTTCTACGTGTGTTCCTGTACCTCCATGCCAAAACGAAAAACAAACACGGCCGAAGTTCAGCGAACCAATGTTTAGGTCCAGCCCTGGTCTTGCCATACGGGTGCACGGCGTGCTGGACGCCTGGGAGGTTTTGGTTACTGTCTAGACTTGCCGTCGCTCGGACGTCCCTTCCTCGTGCATTCTTCGGTTTCGTGCGTGCCTTTGCTTATCTTTTCTTTGCCAGATGATCCAGGACACTCCTCGATGGTCCTCGCCGAGAAAAAATGCACACTTCCGAGCGATGCCAAGCTAAAGAATTTGTTTCTTTGCCAGATGATTCAGGATGCTCCTCGATGGTCCTTGTCGAGAAAAGCGCACACTTCCGAGCGATGCCAAGGTAAACAACTCCCCATGTGGCTTCGGCCCAGCCCGCCAACCACCCGGAGAGCTGCACAAAATCCGTGGGTCAATGCCTGTCCCGCTCCAAGATGACCCAATATGGACTCCACCAAGACGGCCAGGATGGTCTCCAAGACGGCCAAGATATTCCCAAGAGAGCCCAAGATGACCTCAAGTTGCACCAAAGACGGCCTGAGATGCACCCACGACAGCCCGAGATGGCTTCAAGGCGGCCCACGACAGCCCAAGAGGCCCCCAAGAGGCATCCAAGACGGCCCAAGAGGCCTCCAAGACGTCTTTCATGAAGGCCCGAAGAGGCCCAAATCCTTGATCAGCATTCGGTTATTGCAGGATTTGGAGATTTGCTCCTTTTTGGCCAATCGACGGATTAAGAGGCCCCCAGATCGCCCCAATCTCGCCCAACAGGCTTCCAACACGGCCCCATGACGGCCCAAGAGGCCCTCAAGGCGGCCCGGCAGGCTCCCAAGACAGCCCCGAGAGAGCACCAATATCGTCCAATAGGCTTCCTAGACGACCACATCACGGCCCAAGAGGCCCTCAAGGCGGCCCAACAGGCCCCCAAGACGACGGCCCCGAGAGAGCTCCCGGGACGGCCCACACATTGTCCAAGACGGCCCTGAAGCGCCCCATGGGGCCCCAAGCCGGCCCAGAGAGGCCCCCTAAGACGGCGTCAGACGTGCCAGACAAGCCAGGAGCACCCCGAGACGGCCAAGGAAGCACAAAATGGTCTCCAAGAGGCCCGAGGAGGCCCCAAGAAGCCTCCGAGAGGCCCCAGGAAGATCCTGGGAGGCCCCAAGAGTGCCCCAAGAGCCTCCCGAGAGATCTCTTTCTCCTCCTCCTCCTCCTCCTCCTCCTCCTCATCCTTCTCCTCCCGTTTCCTCACTCTCCTTATTCTCCTTTTCCCCTCCCCCACCACACACACACGTGTTCCCTGAAGGGTTTCCACAACCGCTGGGCGAACACTCAGTCCGATAGCTTGGCCGAACTCTGGACACAAAGTTCGACCACATAGGCGTACATATCGCAAAAAGCAAGGGGCGGCGGTGATTCGTCGTAGCGTCTTCGATCCGCCGCCCCCTGTGCTTCCCTCAAGGGTACACGGCGTGTTAGATGTCTGGCAAATTTCTGGTTCTTTTGAACTTCCCTGGGGCTTCGGCCCAGCCCGCCGGCCACCCAGAAAAGGTGGGAGGCAACGGTTTTCCGCCCGAAATGGCTCCAGGATGGCCTCCAACACGGCTCAGATGGCCCAAGATGGCCTCAAAGATGGTCCCAAGATGCCTCCAAGACGGCCAAGATGACCCAATATGGCCTCCAATACAATCCCAAAATGCTTCCAAGATGGCCAAGATGTCCCCAAGACGGCCCAAGATGTCCTCCAGGCGGCTCAAGAGGCCGTTCATAGGCCCCTAAGAGGCCCAAGTGGGCTGTTCGGGGGCAGGGGGGCCCACACCATTCCCGACGCCGTTCCGACGCTCTGACAGTGGAGGGGGAGGGAGCCGACGCCATTCTAAACGTTATTCCCGACGCATGTCGTCCCCCAGAATGTTCCCGCATGACTTTTTCGAGCCCAAGAGAGGCCCAAGACGGGCCAACAGGGCCCCAGGAGGCCCTCAAGACGGCCCAAGAAAGCCCCGAATCACCGAACGATCGGTCTCAGACGCCCAAGATGGCCCCATGGCCATTACCATGATAAACATCATCATAATCATCACCATCACCATCACCATCACCATCACCATCGCCATCACCATCACCATCACGATCACCATCACCATCACCATCATCATCATCATCATCATCATCATCATCACCATCACCATCACCATCACCATCACCATCATCATCATCATTATTATTATCATCATCCTAATCCTCATCCTCATCCTCATCCTCATCCTCATCATCAGCATCATCATCATTGTCCAGATCGCCCCGGATCGGCGGCACTAGCCGGAGGCCAGCACAATAAACGTCCACATCATCATCATCATCATCATCATCAGAGCCACTTCTTTTTTCACATTGCAGGGACATGAATCTGACGAAAGCCTCGAAACGTCCAGGCCAGAGGTTAAAGTCGTTGCACGCTCTCACTCCTCCCAGGGTGGGAGGGTGGGAGCCGAAGACAGGCTATGGAGGGGAGAGAGCGGGGACAGGTGAGAGAGGGCACTCCGATGTGTAAACTTCCATGGATCGTTTAGCAGGTATTGACATCACCGAATTCAAAAAGCCCAAGCTCAAACCGTTCAAGAACATATAGAGCCACTTCTTTTTTCACATTGCAGGGACATGAATCTGACGAAAGCCTCGAAACGTCCAGGCCAGAGGTTAAAGTCGTTGCACGCTCTCACTCCTCCCCAAGTTTCCCGAATACGGGAGTTCACTAGGGTTGGGAAGGGAGGGATCTAGAGTTGTATCCGAACGTGGCGACGCAAGCGGCAGTGAGCGCTCGAACTATACAGTGTGCGAGCTCAGGCGGGTAGGCGGCCGCTGGACGGGTGCGGGCGCATCCTTCGAGCTGGAAGTGAGGGAGGCCTGTCCGCGAGCACCGTCCTTTCTGACCACAGCATTTTCTGCACAGATTCTTAAGGTCGTCAACTGCTACGTGACAGAACATCAGGCGGGCTGGCTTCTTACATGGGGCTCTGAATTGGCACTGGTCTAATTCAACTAAACTGACATGCGGCAAGTGGGCTAAAGCTTGGATCTCTGCGGTGTGCCACAGACGAGAGGTGAGCGGGTGCTCAAGAACGGCAGGGATCTTGAGCTGATGGAAGAGAGCAAATAACCCTATGGCGGCGTGGGCAATCTGATTGCCTACTTTGACTTTCTCTCGGTCTGTGGCGCTGAGCAGCTGTCTGGGCAACCCCCAGGGCATGTCCGGGGGCCGGATCTTTGCTGTCCGATCCCGCGCGATTGAAAAGGTTTGGCAAGAAGGGGCCAAAGTCGCTGCCAATATTAGGCCCCGACGGGCGTCGCGTCGGATTGCCCGAAGGACCTTTGGGTCAACAAGATTCTGCCAGACTGGATCGTGGGCTACATCCCAGCTGCGTGTCCTGAAGCCTAGCTTATCTCCTGCTCGCGAGATGCACCGGCTCCCGGCAAAAAAGTCCGCTACATACCGGCCTCTGAGGCCAAAACGCTGTGCGGCGAGGCGTCTCTCGCGACAGCCGCGGGAGGTCCGCCTCAGCTTGGCACGAGCGACTGCCAGGTCCGCAACCGCATCTCCTCTAGGGCACGCGAGAGCTTGCTGGCGTCGATGCTCGCGCCTGAGCGGCGGAGGTGGTACAGTGTCAACCTGTCGACCCCGTCCTCGGCCGCCGCCAGCTGCACCGCCTCTGAAAGCTCCAGGTACGCGAAAGGCCACAGCATTGGCCGGTCTTTGCTCACTTCGGGCTCGGGGAATAGAGGGCCTGCCCCCTGGAAGTAACTCGAGTCCAGGAGGCGCTCCTCGTTGTAGCGATTTGTTTTGCTCGGTCTTCCCTCCTCCTCGGGGTGAATCGGAAGGTTCCAGCTGTCCACTGTTGCACGCGGCGGTGGGACCAGGGCGCACCTTAGAGCTGCCACCAGAGAAGAGGACCTGGAACAGGCGGAGGGGCCCACCGCTAAGAACAGAGCCATGAGCGGGAGGCCCTTGTCCGCCAGCAGCCACACCCCCGGCGACTGCACGGCGAACGGCAGTGCTTGGCGGGTCCGCGGAGGCGCCCGTCGTCTCCACGCCTCCAGCGCCCGCCACGTCCGCGGCGGGGCTCCCCCGTCCCGCTGGTCGAAAGCTGGGCGCCGGTCCACCAGGGCAGTTCCAGTCTGGTCCTCCAGGCCGCTCTGCTCCTCGGACAGGTACATCGCGTTGAAGTAGTTGCACGCCCAGCAGTCCGCGGCCTCGTTCGTGCCCCTCATGAGCTTGTCGTTGGTCGGGTCGGCATGCGAGTAAGAACGATCGAGATAATTGGCGCAGCGTTCCCTCGCCCGGCGAGTCACCGCCAGACGCTCCAGCAACGCGGGCCCCCCGACAACGGCCTGCGTGAACATGTCCGTGTGGAGGGCCGCTTGGCGTTGGCGCCGGGAGTCCTGGAGGCGGCGAGATCTCCTCGAAGCCGCCGTCGCATGGTTCACCACGTTGTCGGGCCCGTTCGACTCGTTCTCTCCCTCGGCGCCCGCCTCGTCGTCGCCAGCGGAGGCCGCGGGAGCGAGGCCCTCGAGCGCCACAGGAGGCGGCGTCGGCAGCTGGCAAGGGCGGCGCTCCAAGCGTGTCCGGGCCGGCCGGGCGCCGTGGACCCCCGTCGGCACGTCGAGGCGGGCTCTGGGCCCACGTGCCTCCGTCGCTCTCTGGGGCCCCGTCAGCATTCTCGCCTTCGCCCTCGCCGCCAGCGGAGCACTCGGGCAAGGCGGCGGGCGAACGCCAGGCCTCGGCCGAACACGTAGCGACCCTGGAGAGATCGGCCGCACTGGGGCCCACGTCGGCTGCAGCGTCCGAGCACACATCCGTCGGGACAGACTCCTCGGGCACGGAAGCGAGGGAGGCCTGAACATAGTTTGAGCCAATACGGCTACGGAGAGCAGAGAGAGAAGGAGGGGACGAGATCCTAACCTGCTGATCCAGGACATCGGTTAGCAATTTGGACGAGACTTCCGAGTGATCGCGGCTCCCGGCATCGCTCTGGTTAAACTCCGAAGGGATCCATCTAAAATATGGGGCGATGCCAAGGGCAAGAGCGTAAGCGCTGAAGCGTCGAATCTGGACCAGAAGCTTGAAGTCCTGACTCCTCGAGCGGGCAAAAGCAAGGACCACGGCCATATTGTCACACAAGAAAAGTTGTCTGATGCAAGACCCGTGTCTGGTCCTGGCGAGCCTACGGATGGCCTTCACCAAGACCCGGGCCTCCAGCACCAGAATACCCTCGCTAAGGCCCCAAACCCCCTTCCGGACGGTTTTCCAGGCCGAGCCCCGGAGGAGCTGCCAGGGGACTTCGGGAAAACCCGCAACGACCTCCCAGTCGTCTGAAAGAGGATCGTCTCCTAGAAGCTGGCTTCTCCACTCGCCTGACTCGTCACGGAAGAGGTGGGCGGAGGTGAGTGCGGATTCCCGAGCGGAGTGAGCACCGACGCGCTTGAAACGGGAGCGCTCGCTGACACGACCGACGCCGGCGACCTGAGCTGGGTCCCAGAAGCTTCGGGCCATCGCCCAGCCCGCTAGGCTGGCGTCGGTTTCTAAAACGCAGGGGTTCCATGGCAGCCACCAGTCGCGGCCCAGAAGCAAAAGGACCCCTCTAAAAGCTACGAGCTCCTCGACCACTTCGGGCCACATCGGGCCCACGTCGAGATACTGAACCGAAATGAACTTATAGACAGTGTGGAAGATAGACAGGGACTCACGAGCCGCCAGGCCGCAAAACGTGCAATGCCCGATTACTTTTTCAAGTGCCTGGCCGCTGCAACGCCCCCGAGCGAGAAGGCCAGTTAAGCCTCGCTCGAGCTTCCAAAACCGGCTCGAGGTGATCCCCGAGCGAAGGCGGACGCCGTCAAGCTCGGTGCCGAGAGCCTCACCAGCGCCCCCGTGGGACTCTGACTTGTGGAGCGCCAGCCCGACCGGCTCGAAAAGATCGCTCCATTCTGACACCATCCTCTCACTGAGATCGGCGTCGTCCGACACGGCGCCTAGGTTGTCCACGCGCGCGTAGGCGCCCCCGACCCCGCGCGAGGCGGCGCGAAGCACGAAGGCCTCGGCCTGGTCCTGAATCAAGGGCTGCTGCCTGCCAGCCGGCATCGCCTTGCACAGGCTGGGGCTTTGGCACGCCCTGTCCTCATTCGCCGCCTGGGCCAGGTACAACGACCACGTGAACCCCATGGGCAGCACGGCCAAGTGGGGCCGCACGGGAGCGTCTGGCGGGGTCTCCGCCGGGACGCCGGTCACCTGCAGGCCGTCGAACACGTACTTGGGGACGGCGGGCAGGCAGAAGTAGCGGCCAAGGTCCTCGCGTACGCGCATCCGGTAGAAGCAGTCCTTCACGTCGGTGGTGGCCACGTAGACGGCGAAGGCATCCAGGAGCCGCTGCCCCTCAACCGACGAGGGCAGAACACCAGGCGGCAACTCGATCTCGATCCGACCGAAACCCTCACTGCTGAGAAGCTGCACACCTGGCGGAGCTCTGAAGTGGCCGTTGCTCCGCCTCGCATCAATTATCATACGCTGTGCCCCGTTCGTTTTAGCTACGAAAAACAGGCCCACCGACTCGGCGGGCCTAGCCGTTACACCAAGAAGTCCGCGTCCAGCAAGATCTCGCAGAAAGGTGCGGTAGGATTTGGGGTTCCTCTTCAGCACCGGGTCCATGTATAGCCGCGGCATGCTGTCGAAGTTGACTGACTCCGGCTCCAACCTCATACGCTTGTGGTTCTCCTCCAAGAACGAGCGGCACCCAGGGCTCACGATATCCTCGATGAAGCGGCAGTCCAGCACGCTGTCGGGGAGTGAGACCTTGCCGGGCAGGTAGGAGACGAGGTCCCTTGGGGCCAAGTCCGTCTCGTACACGGACTGCCCCCGGAGCAGCTCCCTCAGGGCTGCCTCCGCCCTCGGCATCACCTGCGGAGCTGCGGCCTGTCGCCGATGAGCTTCACGAAGCAAGTGCTGCTGAAGGGCTGCATGCTTGTCCAGGGTCGTTGCGCCCGGACTCGGTGAAGCGGCAGCGCCCTTGAAGCCAGCCAACCAGTTCAAGCTGCGGAGGGCGCGATTCACCAATTCCACCTCGTGCTGCCGAGCGTGAGTCCTATGCTGAGACCTGCGCCCACGGGCGGAGCCGCCCGGCGCAGCCATCATCGGCACGGGGAACAAGTCTCTCTCAAAATCGGACGGCGGCAGCGGTGAGGCGCGGGCCAGATTGTGGTACCAGCCGGGGGGGGCCCACTCCCCCGGCTGTGCCTTCTCGGTCATGGCTGGGCCGGCGGGGGGAGCCCCGGGGTGCGACCTCCGCGGACACGACCGCAGCGACCTCCCCCCCTGTCCCCACCGCCGATCCTTGTGGTGGCACCCTCAGCGCCCGGCTGGATTGCAGCAGATCCCGACGTCACACGAGTATCCGCAGCCCCGGCCTTCATCACGGACCGCTCGACCCCACAGACCTCCTTCATGTGGTAGGCCACGTGGCTCCTCAGCGGCGGCGCCGTTGACTCGTCTGACTCGCCCAGCGGAGCCAAGTACTTGGCGGTGGCGAACGAGGGGGTGCCAGCGCACTTGTAGGCGTCCACGGTCACGTTGAGCCGGCGCTCGGCCACCACAAGGAGAGCGAGCCCCCCCAGGTTGGCCTGGCCGAAGGACACGGCCTCCTCGAGCACCTCCATCGGCGGCCAGGGCCCAGGGCCGACCCGGTCGGCGTGCACGACGTGCTTGTCACCCAAGAACTTCTCGAGCCAACTCCGAGGGGTGCCCATCGTGTGGTACATCATCTTGCAGGTGTGCAGGCGAGTCAGGCCGTCCTCCTGACGCTGGTGGCCCTCGACGCAGTCCGCCGACTCGTTCGCGGCCTCTCTGAACCCCTTGTACCGCTCCCCTTGGCCGCCCCACTCGATCCAGAACATGCGAGTGCCATCTCGAGCGGCGTCAGCCAAAGCATCAGCCGACGGAGCGCCATCCCGGGCGGGAGCGCCCTCCGCGCCGCTGGCAGCGGCGCCATCCAGGACACCGCCCGGGGGAGAGGAGCCGAGCGTCGCCACGGGAACTGCCACCTCCAGGAGACGGCCCAGCTCGGCCACACGGCGTGACGCCCGGCCTGCCCCGCCGTCCCGCGGCACCAGCTCCCGACGAAACGCCCGTCCGCGACGGAGCCCGGGGGCACCCAATCCAGCGCCGATGAGCGTCTCGTTCGACGGGTCCTCGAGCGTGCCGATGTCCAGGTCGAACACTGGCTCGGTCAGCACCCAGACGTGCCCCTGCCTCCCGTGGAGTCGGTGCGACGGCCACGGCGGCGCGGCCCACGGGGACACCTCCCCGCCTTCCAGCAGCATGCCAGAGGCGAGCTCCACGTGGGCGGGCCCCCCGGCAGCCGCCTGCCCGCGAGCCTCCATCGCCAGTCGGCACCTGTCGGCCGGCTCCACGAGCTGAGTAGGGGTCGGCCGCTCGCGGAAGCTGTACAGCTTCAGGCCATCAGCAGGCGAGGCACCCCCGTCGGCGATGCGCTCGTCGTCCGAAGGGCCATCGGTAAGTGAGGCCCCTGAGAGCAGCTCCCTCCACCAGTTGCCGTCGGGCGAGAGGACCCAGTAGAAGTGCAGACCCACCCGCTCGACAGCCTCCCCTTGACGCGAGGGCCAAACCACGACACGCTCGAGGTCCCTGACGTCGTCGTCGTAGCTCACCCGGGCGAGAGCACCGCGAGGGAGATCAGCGCACCACTCCTCCCCCGTGGGAGTCGGAGCCGTCAACAAGGCCTCGACGCCGGCGTCGGCGTCCCCGTCGAGCCACACCAGAGCCTCCCTCCGTGGCACGGGTCCAGGCCGGAGGGGGCTCGCTCGCCAGTCCAGACCAGCTATCAGCGCCACGCACAAGGCCGGCAGCGCAGCGGGCCCGCCGGAGGCGGGCATGCGGCGTGCCGCCCGTCCTTAAGCCGAAGACAGGCTATGGAGGGGAGAGAGCGGGGACAGGTGAGAGAGGGCACTCCGATATGTAAACTTCCATGGATCGTTTAGCAAGTATTGACATCACCGAATTCAAAAAGCCCAAGCTCAAACCGTTCAAGAACATATATCATCATCATCATCATCATCATCATCATCATCATCATCATCATCATCATCATCATCATCATCATCATCATCATCATCATCATCATCATCATCATCATCATCATCATCATCATCATCGCCATCAGCATAATCATCAGCATCAGCATAATCATCATCGTCATCAGCATCAACTCTCTCTTACACACACGCACTCACTCAGTTACACTCGCATGTTCACTCATCATCACCACTGATCATCACCACGCACCATCATCATACACACTCACACACTCACATACTCACCTTGAGGGAAGTCCCGAGCGGGAGCCCCCTCTCTATAGGGCCCCACTTCGTGTTGGCAATCCGAGCGGGTCGTCGGACAACTCTACCAGGCATAGCAATGAGACATCCAAAAGGGGCAAATCGTGAGGATGTCTCAAGCGGGGACCTCGTCTGTGAGACAACTGCGAAGACATCTCAGGCGGGAGCCCCCTCGCTATCCCTCACGCAATTCACGTCGGCAATCCGAGCGGGTCATCGACAAACTCAACCAGGCATATCGCTCGACCACCCCAAGAAGGCAAATCGTGAGGATGTCTCAAACGGGGGCCTCGTATGTGGGTGAATTGCGAAGAAGTCTCAAGCGGGAGCCCTTTCCCTATGGGGCCCACATCTCATGTTGGTAATCCGAGCGGGTCACCTGATTATGTTTCCAGGCGTAACACTCGAGCACCCCAAGGGGGCAAATCGTGAGGATGTCTCAAGCGCCCCCCTCCCCTCCCTAAGATGCCCGCGCTCCATGCTGGTAATCCCACCATCCCTTTGGGTGACAGGTGGTCTAAGGGTGATTTTTTGTTCTTCCACAACCTCTCATCCCTTCGGGGAGGGGAACCCTCTCCCTCCCATCCCTGCTTGTTTTTCTTTTCTTTTTTTTTTGGGGGGGGGGGGGCGGGGGGGGGGCGATGTGTCAGAGGGTCCTTTTTCGGCATGTGGGAGGGCCAATTTTGCCACCCATCACGAGGATCGTGGCCCTCGCAAGGGGGGCAGACATCGATGACCCCTCATTTTTTGACCGACCGCCTCGAAGATTGCCCCAAGAGGCCCTCCAGGGCTCCCGAGAGGCCGCCAAGAGAGCCCCAAGAGCGCCCCAAGAGGCCCCAAGAGGCCACCAAAAGGCACCCAAGAGGTACCCAAGAGACCCCCTGAGCGGCCCCCCAAGAGGCCCAAGAAGCTCACCCGAGGCACGCAGGACGCCGTCTCGTCCTCGTCCTCGTCCTCGTCCTCGTCCTCGCCCTCCTCGTCCTCGTCCTCCTCCTCCTCCTCCTCCTCCTCCTCCTCCTCGTCCCCCCCCCTCATCCTCATCCTCGTCGACCTCCTCGTCCTTATCCTCCTCCTCTTCTTCCTGTTTCTCCTCCTCCTTTTCCTCCTCCTCCTCGTCCTCTCGTTCTCGTCCATCTCCTTCGTCCTCGTCTTCGTCAATTTCCTCCTCCTCCTCCTCCTCCTCCTCCTCCTCCTCCTCCCTCCTCCTCGCCCTCCTCCTCATTCGCCTCCTCCTCCTCCTCCTCGTTATCATCCTCCCCCTCGTCCGTTTTCTCCTCCTCCTCCTCATCATCATCATCATCATCAGCATCATCATCATGATTATCATCAGGTTCATCATCATCATCATCATCATCATCATCATCATCATCATCATCATCATCATCATCATCATCATCATCATCATCATGATCATCATCATCATCATCATCATCATCATCATCATCATCATCATCCTTTTGCTCTTCCCCCTCCTCTTCCTCCTCCTCCCCCTCCTCCTCCTCTTCGCCCCCCCCACGCGGGCCCGGAGATGGCCCCAACACGCCGTCCAGGCCGACCTTCGTCGCTGTTTGACAATGCGTGTCTCTTCCTCTCGCCCACCGTCATATCTTATGGGCATCGTTTCTGGATGGGCTGGTGGGGATATGTTTTTGGTCTGCGGGCTCGCGAAGCAGGTCGAAAGCCGTCCGAACACTAGTCGGGCCACGACTAGGCAGCAAGAAAAGAGAGAGGCAAGCGAAGCGAGCGCGCGGGCAGCCACTCAGAAGGAAAGCCAGAAACGAAACTCCCAATCCGGCGGCGTGGAAATCCCGGTGGCGACCAGCAAGTAAGCGCAGCCAAAATTGGGCGGCGGCGCGACCATAAACACGCAGAGGTCAATCACTCGGTGTGAATCAGCACGACGCACCGTCAGAAACGAACAGGACCGACAGGCACACCCGGACGACGTCCGTGCCGAAGGCGACACAAATGCATCGTGTCAGCGAAACATCGTGTCAGCGCAGGAGTGAAGAGGGGCAACCTCGTCACAGATGGGACTGCAAACGGCAGTACCTCTTGTTTGTACAGCAGCGGCACATGTCGAAAGCGTAGTCCTTACAGGAGAAGGCAGCCGACGGGCGCACAGTGCCACACATGCCGAAGTCCTTGCACCGTGGAGGTCGGCAGCGTAGCGAAACCCCACTGGACCGTTCCTGTCACCAGTGGAGGCCGCCACCAGCCAGGAGCAGGCCAGGGGCCACCTGACCGCCCATTCCCAGTGTGATCATCGCATGGAATTCAGGCTGTCAGAGCATCATCAGACAGCGGTATTGGCGGCAACCCCAGCCGCGTGGGATAAACCCGGTGAAACAAGGGAAAAAAGGGGAAGTGCACGCCAGGCACGGTAGGCACCCCGGTGTGGCAGCTAACCGCTGCAGCATTCGGATGCAGGAGGGGAGGAAAGGAAGTGCACGCAAGGCACACGGTGCGAGAGGAGAGGAGGAGAAAGGTATAACATGGATTCGAGCAGTTGTTGCTGACTATGCCAATCGTGGCTATGCAATTTCCGACCGCGCTGACTATGCCAAACATGACTGTGCCAACCCTGGATATGCCAACCCTGACTGGGCCAACCTCGCTCCTCCCCAGCGGGGGGGGCTCCCTTTCATCTGGCGACTCGCGACTATCTTCACACTCTTCCCAGTGGAGGCGACTGACCGTCGCAGAGCCACTTGGAATCCGAGGCGGCTGGGTGTTCCCAGGGGTCGTGTCGCCAGTGGGATGTGTTGGACGGTCGGCAAGGTCCTCTCTGTCTTCTCCCTGCCTCTCCTCCATCGGCTCGCGACCCATTTCGCGCTCTTCCCGGTGTAGGTGACTAACCATCGCAGAACCCCTTGGAATCCGAGGCGGCTGGGTAC